GTGTAAATACAACTTTGTATAAAGTGTGAATGTGTCCATTTAATGTCAAATTTAGGGGAGAAATAAGTGGTGTAGGAAATTGTTTTATTACATTCAAATCTCTGTTTTCTCTTCAGTTGCTTCTAGTTTTTGGGTTTTTTTGTGTTTGTGTTTTATTTTTAAGAAAAAAGCATTTGACCTGTTCTTTGAGAGAGAGTTTTTCTCTTGAAGGTGAACAGATTGACAGTTGAAAACTGATTATTACTGTTACTTGAAATAGTGTGCTGCAGTTGAGATGAGAACAATACTGACTCTTGAAGGATGCCTTCAAGGTCTCATGGCGGCTTCCAGTTGTTGCAAATTTCTTGTGAATTCCTATGGTATGGTCAGTAATGGTTCAGATCCTTGTTTTTTCTGTTTCTGGGAATTGAAACATGTTCTTTTGAGTCCTTGAGAGGAATTCCCTGCTGATAGATGGACCAAATGGAATTTGCACATCTCTGTAAACATTGGAGAAGTTTACATTCTGCTCATTCTGCCTTTGAACTTAGATGGCTACAAAGTCAGAAGTTCAAAGTGAAGCTAAACTTACTTGAAAATGTCAGCTCAGATGGTGTACCTAGCAGTTAAAAGAAAGTCTATATTTTAATCATGCTTATGCCTGGGGAGCTTTTCTTCTAATGTTTTATCATGTAAATTTGCTGTTTAAAACTGGTATGCAGGATAAAGTTTTGTTAAAGCTATTACAGTTGTATCAGATTTATCGTAATGGTTTTTAGCTTCAAACTGTTGGAAAACTGCAGTCTGTTTATAAAACTTTCCAGAAATTTATCTACTGATTTGGTTTTAGAAGTTTTCCAATGACAGGACTTAGACCTAATTTGATTGCTGTATTTATCAATACTGATGTGACTGTCTTGTAAAAAAAAATAAAATTCAACTTTTCAGATTTCCATTAATAATAAAATTCTTCTGTCTTGAACAGTAGTGGTTACTGGTCTTGTCAGTGCAATCATACACTGACAAAAATGCAGCACTTTGTGATACTGTAAAATAAACACTTACTGAGTGATGAGGATTCTCGATGTTGTGAATGAATGTGCTGCAGTACCTGTGCACCATGTTTCTGGGTGCTAAGGAATGTATGTTTATCTGCAGCTGTGACTTTGTGGAACAGTGATTTCTTGCGAGTAGGAGACTCACTGAGTATGGAGGTCCAAGCTGTCAATTTCGGTAGAAAAATGAGGTTTCCTAGTTTTTTAAGGAGCCAGCATTGTTGTTACAGTTTGGAGATCATGTAATCTTTATATTTTTTCCTTAAGAAAAAAAAATCACTTGCTGCTGCAGTTATCAAGTAACACCAGTGTGTTGATAATACGCTTCAAAGCTGTATCCCAAACAGTTCTGAACAGTTTCAAAGTATGTTTCTATTTCTTTTTTTTTTATAACATTCAAGAAGAAAAAAATGCCTCTATTTATAATCCTTAGGTAACAAGACTGAGAACTGCACTTAACACATGCTGCTGCTTCTTGGAAAAGCCACACAGGAATTTTTGAGAGGACTTCATAAGTCACAGTGTTCCTGCATCTGAGAATTTGACATAGCAATTTTAATAAGCTGTAAGTTAATGAAGTGATTAAAGCTTGCTTAGCTGTCCAGGTGGCCTGAGCAGTTGGTGTGAAGTGTATTAGAGTTCTAGTTAGGTGGTTATCTGTGGCTAGTAGGCTTAGACCATCTACAAAATACTTGGTATGTCTTCAGGAGAAGGTTTAGAATGACTGTCCTACTAACAGGAGGATAGTAAATAACTGAATGGCACTGAAGGCCACAGCTGTGCTGTAGATGTGACCAGGACCTGCCTGCACTGTCTGTAAAGGAACTCAGCAAAAAAGTTTGGGGTTTGTTGTGATTTGGTTTTGTTGGGTTTTTTTAAGCACTTTCTTGATTGGGTTCTGCACTCAGCTGAGCAAATAGGCAGTAGATAGGACAGGGCTTCTTACTGATTGTGATAGTTGTGGCTTTAATGAATGTCAAACTCCACAGCTTAATATATTGTATGGAAAAGTATCTAGTGTCTGTTTTTTTCTGTAGACTTCACCTGTGTTGCATATTGTTATCTCATGAAAGGGATACATACTAGTAACCTCCAAAGCTCTTCTTTAAGACTTCATTCACCAGGACTTCAGCTGTGTGGTTTTCAGGGTTATATAACTTTGTTAGTCTGTCATTGTTCCAGTCTTTCTGGAGGCACCCTCTTTCATTTAAATCTTGTCTTGGTATGTGTAACATCAGCTCTTATTTAATCTTGCTATGTGAAGAGTTTTGTCTGAATTAATATTTTAAGACTTAGCTGAAATGTATAGAACCTTTCATAATGATGTCTGTCCTTCATAATATAAGCCACTGAAAGGAAGTAGATAAAAACTTAGTCAGAGTCTTAAAGAATTTAAGGAATCTGTTGGAAATCTGTTCACCATCTTAGTGTGTATGTGGTGAGTCCACAGATGTACAATCAGTTTGTTTAAAGCACATATGTCTGATCTGATTCAAGGAAAAAAACCACAACATCTAATGGGTGTAAATAGCTAGGGAACATAAAGCGACTTTTCAGTTTTGTACATTATTTGCTGCAGAGAACTCTCTGAATTTGTAGATTGTTGCATGACTTGAACATGTGATGATTTACATCTAACGGGCCCATCTAGTTCAGTGGATCTGTGTTTTAATGAGGATTGCTCTTTAATTCTTCTAGCAGAAACTCATTATTAATGATTTTTATCTCACTCTTTGGTATGCTTATTAGCTGTTGCTGGAAGACATCTTATCTCCTGAACTCAAGTCTAACCTGTCTGTGTGAATAAAGTAGAAATAATATTAAAAAATAACATAGATTTTGTGGTAACATAGATATTGTGGTGAATATTGGAAGTTGTATAATAGTACTGAGCAGATTGGAATTGAAAATGTAAGATGTCACTTTTGTGGTGGATGACAACTTCCTTTAAGGGCCTGTTAAAGTGATTAATTAATGAACAGCTGTACTTAAATCCCTTATTTTGCTTGTCCAAGTATTACTGTTTCATGAGCATTATTTCTGTTGTTAAGAGGGTAAAGTATGATGAAACTTCCCAAAGGAAAGGGGATTGTTCAGCATCACTATGACCATTATAATCATGGTACAGCAGTTTGATAGATCTGCAGGTTTTTTAATATATTGGAGTAAACTGGAAATCTTCTTAATTAATGTGTTTTATCAGTGCTAGGTTTTTGTATAGTCTTTAGTCTGTTTTCTACTTCTGAGATTGAATCTGGCTGAGTGTGCAGAATTGCTCAAATATGAAAGTAGTTAGGTACCTGAATGTAGCTTTTCTTTGTCTTAGGTTTAGTGATCCACTTGATTTCAGTAAAGCATTTGACACCGTCTCCCACAGCATCCTTGTAGATAAGTTGATCAGGTATGGGTTTGGTGATCAAGTAGTGAGGTGGATTAGGAACTGGTTGAAAGGAAGGAGTCAGAGAGTTGTAGTCAATGGGGCAGAATCTGGTTGGAGGTGTGTGACTAGTGGAGTCCCACAGGGGTCGGTACTGGGGCCGGTGTTCAACATCTTCATCAACGACCTGGATGAGGGTATAGAATGTACCCTCAGCAAGTTTGCTGATGACACTAAACTGGGAGGAGTGGCTGACACACCAGAAGGCTGTGCTGCCATTCAGAGAGACTTAGATAGGCTGGAGAGTTGGGCAGGGAGAAACATGATGAAATTCAACAAGGGGAAGTGTAGAGTTTTACATTTGGGGAAGAACAACACCATGTCCCAGTACAGGTTGAGGGCTGAACTGGTGGAGAGTAGTGTAGGTGAAAGAGACCTGGGGGTCCTGGTAGACAGGAGGATGACCATGAGCCAGCAATGTGCCCTTGTGGCCAAGAAGGCCAATGGCATCCTGGGGTGCATTAGAAAGGGTGTGGTTAGTAGGTCAAGAGAGGTTCTCCTCCCCCTCTATTCTGCATTGGTGAGGCCACATCTGGAGTATTGTGTCCAGTTCTGGGCCCCTCAGTTCAAGAAGGACAGGGAACTGCTCGAAAGAGTCCAGCGCAGAGCTACGAAGATGATTAAGGGAGTGGAACATCTCCCTTATGAGGAAAGGCTGAGGGAGCTGGGTCTCTTTAGCTTGGAGAAAAGGAGACTGAGGGGTGACCTCATCAATGTTTACAAATATGTAAGGGGTGAGTGTCAGGGGGACGGAGTTAGGCTTTTCTCAGTGATGACCAGTGATAGGACAAGGGGTAATGGGTGTAAATTGGAGCATAGGAGGTTCAAGGTGAATATCCGAAAAAATTTTTTTACTGTAAGAGTGACAGAGCACTGGAACAGACTGCCCAGGGAGGTTGTGGAGTCTCCCTCACTGGAGACATTCAAAACCCACCTGGATGAGTTCCTGTGTGATGTACTCTAGGTGACCCTGCTCTGGCAGGGGGGTTGGACTAGATGATCTCTCGAGGTCCCTTCCAGCCCCTAAGATTCTATGATTCTATGATTCTATGATTCTATAAGTTATACATTTGGTCTAATGTTGGAAACAAAGACCAAGGCATGTTGCTATCAGTGGACTGATAGATTTGGAAGAGAAACAGAGAAGGTAATCTGGGGGAACACTGGAGGTGAAAACTTTTTGTAGATGGCAACATTTATCTGTCACCATTAACTGAATTCTATGATTCTATGATCCAGAAAGAAACTCGAGTACTTATTCTACCACCTGGTAAGTACTAGTAATAAGTATAGTAAAATATATATATACATAGGTCTCATAGAATTCTAAGTTAGTGCATTTAGTTCTGTGTCTTCTCTTTTCAAGTATGACTCCAAAAAGAAAAACATCTCAGTGTTTTTACAATTTTATGTCCTGGGTTTCAGAAGGATGTGTGCAACCTCATTGATTAGTGATACATGATTTAGCAGTTCTCCTTGTAAGATTTCTTTTACACATTTCTAATGTTTAATTTCCTTTTCAGATCTGCTAAAGCTATCCTGAAGCCAAGGCTGGACAGCCAGTACAAGGGAAGTGTTGCTTTTTTAAATGGACATCTGCTCTTGCGGTATGGCCCAGATATCCAGTAGCAATGGATTTAAACAGCGCTCCTCACCTTTGGCATCCATGAGGTCAAAAGATGTGGACAAAGAGGAGGCATTGCAGATGGAAGCTGAGGCATTAGCTAAGATGCAGAAAGAAAGAAGTGTAGCTGGTAATAAACAAACTTTTCATTCTTTAAGCAGCACCAGACAAAAAGCACAGACTCATAACAAACAGGACCATGATCTCATGGTGTTTCCAGAGTCTGATGCCAAGAGCATGGAAGATAAACTAAGTACCATTGACATAGAGAAGCTTACTCATGCTGAACTAGAAAAGCTGCTGCTGGATGACAGTTTTGAATCTAGTAAAGTACCTACGTTACCAGCAAGTCCGATTTTGAGCCCATCTGTGTCTTCGCAATTTTATCTTGGGCCTACAGGTCAGAGAAGACAGTGGACGCCTGGGCTACCAGCACCTGTGACATGCACTTTACCTCCTATTTACCCCTCAGCTCCTTACACAAAACAGACTGCTGGTGTATTTCAAAATGGATTCCATCCAAGTATTTCCTCCTATCACTCTAGAGAACCTATTTATCTTGGTCTTCCAAGACAGTCGCAATACATTTCATACCCATTGGCAGCTACTACACCTTTCCATCCACAAGGAAGCCTACCCATATATCCTCCAGTACTTACACCAGAAATGGCAAAAGTATTTGACAAAATTGCAAGCACCTCTGAATTTCTGAGAAATGGGAAGTCAAGCACGGACTTAGAAATGACTGCTATAAAGTCTGCAGTTTCTAACCTGCCAGCCTCAGAAAGCTGCAGGGATGTTAGTAAATTTGATTGGTTAGATTTGGATCCCTTAAGTAAACCAAAAGTAGATAGTGTGGAGGCTTTAAATAAGGCAGAGAATGATGGAGAGAGAGCTTCAAGTATGAGTGCTGAAGATCCGTGGGATGCTGTGCTGTTAGAAGAAAAGCTGTTAGTAACGTGTCATCTGGAAAGAAAGGTTAATGGGAAGTCTTCTGGGGCAACAGTTACAAGGAGCCAGTCCTTAAACATGCGAACAACGCAACTTGCAAAGTTACCCGGCCAAACATCACAGGTATGTAAAACAGTATTTTTAAATTTCAGCATAATAGTGAAGTCTAATCACAGTATTTAAAGACACTTTAAGGTCTGGATTTGTTTGTTAAATATTACTTGGCTTGAGCAGTGTCCAAATAATACGATGTTACTGGCGTATGTATGTATTAGTGATATTCAGAAAACTGAACATTGCTACTGAACTAAATGCCAAAGGAACTTTGTCCTTATGTAATCTTTCCACATTTACTGAGGAAATTAGTTTTTTTCAACACACTACAAAAATAAATGGAAATAGTCTTGAGAACAATTCAGTATTTAAATCATATTGATAAATACTTGCATTAAAGAGCAAAATAAAAACAAAAGAAAAAGGTGGCAAGTTAGATGCTGAAAGCTTTGTCTTGAGCACTCTATCTCAGGTATTGGAATAAATTATTTTTTTGTCTTATATTTGAACCTGTTAGCTTTTTAAAAATAATAAATAGGTAAAATAGAAAGGTGGCATAGTGAAAACTCTTTTCTGCCCTCCCAATATCGCTTGCAGTCTTTCACAGACCACTGTCATTCTCTTTCATAGGTAGAAATCTTTCCTTCTCTGCAGAAATGCTAGAAAGATTGTAGCCCAACTCTTTGGTTATACTGTCCTGGAAGATGGGATACCTGCTGGGTCAGAAACCCTGTGTTTCTGTTCTGGAAGAACAAAAACCATCTTTGCTTGATGTTACTTTTACCTGGCAGGGCAAAAGGGTGATTTCTGCTCTATGATCAGGATCACTTCCCTCAAAATTTCAAGACAAAAATGTCAAAAGAGGCTTTATTTATGACACACATCTTTCTGGACGCTGAGCATATACAGTCTCTATCAAAACTAAGCTGTACAGCAGAAGATCAATACTGTAGCAATCTCATCTGATTAGTTATGCCCCCATAAGTGCACCCCACCCTTTCCCAAGTCCAGTAAATGACTATAGATTATTTATCGGTTCCTATCTTTTTAAAATTCTTTCTGTGAGATTAGTTACCTTACTTGAAAGTGAATATGAATACTTCTGTGTTTTTGTTTTTTGCTAGACAGAGTACAAAGGCTAAGGAAGGAATCTTCAGTGGAAAAGTCAGCATGCTGGCAAGGGTGGAAATGGCAGGAAAAATTGTGTTGAGGGGGGAAGGTAAAAGATCTGTTTGCCTTGGAGACATAGGTTTGCATCTGTTTTGAATCTTATGTATTGTCTTTCTAGGCGTTTTTCATAGGGTAGGGACATGCCATAAAACCCAACTTTTATCAGTCAAGGTTATTTCCAAAATTGTTCCTTAATTCTTCCCTCCCCCTCAGGTTGAGGGAGGTTTTTTCTCAGAAAAAGGAATATTTACTGGACTTTGGCTTAAAGGGCTGTCTGAATTTCCATTAAAGTGAAATTTTTGGCTCCTCGTTTGAAAGATTTCCTGTTTTTCTGGGCTGGTTGTCAGTATTCTGGCAAAAGTTTTAATAGAAGCCAGTGGAGAAGGACCAAAAAAAACCCTAAACCCCCAAAAAAATCCTTCACCTCTGTTTTTGAGGGATTGCATTTTCAGTGTTATATGTGTGAAGATCTATCTTGGGTCTAGCTTAATTTTCTTTTTTTCCAGTCACTGATGAGCTGTGATATGCAAGCTCAGTTATTTCCTAGTATTTGTAGAGGCATGTAAATTTAGACTATTTAAACAGTTTGCTGCTTCAGTTTGCCATGTGATCAAGTGATGTGTTCATTAGTTTTCCTCTGAAGTTTCGTTGGTTGTAAAGTAACTGTTGACTGGAATAGCTAGACTATGTTGGGTTAGTGCTTCTGAGGTGTTGTTTGTAGAAAGTAATATCTGACTGTTGCTGAATGAAATGTTTTTATAAATTCGGGAGGTTTTTTCCAAGAATGCAGGATTTAAAAGGATCTTTCCTGTTCATCAGGTCTGATCCCATGCTATTTGTAGATTGTGTGCTAACTAATTCATAAAATGCTCAAGCTCTGCCTTCACCTGTGGTCTTTTCCTCCTGCTACTTTTGATTTAAAGGCTATTCCAGACCTCACTATTCTTATCAGTCATCTAGTTTTCAGTCAATTATATCTGATTTTCTTAAGCTATCATTTTTTTCAAGGAAATTATTTGTTTATAGCAGACTCCTGCAGTGAATGCCCACTTGAAGGTTTGAGATTTACTTTCTTTCCACTTGGATTCCTTCAGTCTGCGGTTAACTAGTTTGGGCATAATGCGCCAGTTCTTGTGTGTTTTATAAAGTTAGCTGATGATGCAGGACTGTAAATTATCAGCAGGGGTGTTTCAGGTGCTTGTACTGAGTTATTAAAGAAGATAGTAAGTAGGTATAAAGACACATCCTTCAAATGGGTATCCTTTCAGCATAACCTGTGGCTTTTGTTTTATCTTTTGCCCATCCTGGCCAGCTGAATTTTAGAGGTGTCCAATACCTGGGAATTCACTACTTCCCTGGGGAGATTGTTCCAATGGTTGATTGTTCTTATTGTGAAAAATTTTCCTCTTTTGTCCAATCAGAATCTCCCCAGGAGTAACTTTTACCCAGTATCCCTGGGTGTCTTCTCCATGTGACTCTTTGTAAAAAGGCAGTCTCTGTAGCCACCCGTTTAGTATTGGAACATGGCAATGAAGCCTTCTTTTCTCAAGGCTGAACAAACCCAGTTCTCTCAGCCTTTCTTCATGTGGCAGACTTCCCAGTGCTTTGATCATCTTCATGGCCCTTCTTTGGACCCTCTCCAGCCTGTTCACATCTTTTGTGTATAGTGGGGACCAAAGCTGCACGTAGTATTTCAGGTGCTGTATAGTATGACGCTGAGTTATTTAGCCACTATTTTTGGCAATTCTCTTTTCTTTTATCCCACTTATTTCCAGGTGTATATTCTCCCCAAAGCATATTCTGAAGTCTTGCATGTTAACTAGTCTGAACAATTTTTTCCCTTGGATAACTTAAAGTCTCACTATTACAGCACATTTAATCCATTGAATCAATAGATCATTTTGAGCTTTGCTTCATACTTGATGAAGCACTTATACGTTTAGTATTCTCCTTTAAATACTTCAGTGTTTGTCACTCTTCTTTCTGAAAACGGAGGCAAAACTGTAATTTTATCCTGTCTTAGGTGGTGTCTTCTACCTTTTCTCTCCGCAGAGCAGAACTGGTTTGTGGCTTTAGATACATATGGGATTTAATTTATCTTGACTCTGTGTAATTTACTGGGGTTTGTTTGTTTTTTTTTTCTATTGTTAAGAGTAATTGTATTTGCAGACCACTTCTATTTTTGCAGATAGTCCTGATATGAACTATTTATCTAGTTTGGCCCAAAGTCCTTTCTTACAAGTTATTTCCTGTTTGACTGATAGCTTTTTCACCTTCTAGGTTTGCTCATCTGGAAGTTAGAGAAATTCAAATCCTATTTGTTGCTCAGCCTACTATTATCTGAGTCTGGTGGATTTTTAAATAGATTTCTTAGTTAATCAAAGCTTGTCCTCCTGAAATTACCTTCCAAAAGTGACCAAGAAATAGTTTTGAAATTCAACTAAAAAAGCAAGGATGTATTTAATCTTCTTAACTTTCCAGTAGGAGGTAATTTCCAGCAATACATATTTGAGTTAACATTAGGTTTCTCTCCTTAGCCAAATGTGACCCTAAGCTATTGGTAACCTAAAGAAACCTGTTTTTTAAATTTGTTCATTACATTAGAATTTATTGTTTACCCTGGCTAAGCATGTGTATGTGGAAGTGCTCTGTAGTTCCCTAAACTCCTGTGAATTTAACAGAATAACCTGCAAATTTTGCTGTAAGTAATTCCAGCGGGTCACATAGTGGCATGATGTGACAATGTTGCATCACTGGTGTGGCTTCAAGTAATCCCCTTGTGTATTGCTTTTAAACTCTGATTAGAATTGCAAAGTGCTTTGAGTACTTACTTGAAGTATTACTTAACTTCTTTAAAAAAGAGTTCTTAAATAGAGAAAATCTGACATTTCTACAGCTAGCTTCTTGACTTGAAATGACTGAGTCTGTTGGTGAGTGCTGAGCAGCAGTTAGTTGAATCTGTAGCAAAGGTGTTTACCATTCACCTGGTATCTTAACTTCCTGTTTCCTTGTATGATTTTTTTGTTATTGTGTAATTACTTAATAAATACTAGTTACAATGGCACAGGTTTGTCAGCTGGTCATATGCAGTTGCCTGTAAGTATTTTTGTGATACAACTTGTGTGATATGTTAGAATGAAAGAACCTTTTTAAATTCAAGGTATTGTATATGCTCCTGAATCTCATTCCAGGTTTTGTGGCTTTACAGTTTCCTGCTCTAATTGCTTTCCATGGATGACTAATCCCCAATTATATATAATTAAATCTTTTGAATTGATCGGTGTTCATGAAAGCTATATTTTAGCTGAAATAACTAGGCTTAAATGTAATACAAGTGGCAGTTATGGGTTGTGTATATGATTCCTTCTGTGTTTATGCTACAATGCTTAAAGAAGTTAATAAGAGCAAAAAAAGTTGTAAAAGAAAAAGACCTGACAGTTCCTAGCTCTGCATGTTACAGATCTGACCCCTTTTCTGAGACGATCTAATTTGCCATGGGTTTGCACATGAGAAAATTCTTTGAGATCAAGTTATTCTAGGGACTGTCTGGCTGGAGTGCCATGGGTGCTTCAAGCTAGTGGTGGCTGTTTAGACTACAGATGATTGAGTTCCACCTTAGCCTCACTGGTTGTTCCAGCTGCTTTCTGATGTTTATCGTGTGGCTGTATTGTGAATTGTATCAGGAACAGGTAAGGACTTAAAACTGCTGCAGTTTGTGATTTTTATTTATTTATTAATTTTATGAGATTTTGTTGTTTGAAACTGCAGTTCTGTTTCAGCAATTGTTTTTTAGATTATATTCTTCAAATAGTGGTTTATGTTTTTGGGAGCTGGATGCAGCATATGGCATAAGGAATTAAATCAGGAATAATTTGATACCATGAGATTAGTTCTAAGTTTAGTGTTCTGAATGCTACTTCCATCCGGTGTGCAATTGACCTTTTCCTGCTTTATAGGGAAAGGTAGTCATGAACAGAACTAATGTGTAATGGTTCTTTCTGGGATTGTACTGAAGGCTGAATTGCAGAGCGAAGGAAAAAAGCACTTTTCTGTCTTTCCTGGTTCAGCAAAATGTAGCCAAATTCTTATGCAATAGGTCACTGCTGAGAGCTCAGAACTGTTATGCTTGCAACTGATAATGACGCTGTCAAATAAATTACCTTCTGTAAAGGAGTAACTGGCCCAGTGAATCTTTGGTTTTCAGCTTAGTAATGTTACATATTTTTCTCCTTATAGAAGTAGTCATGAAACTAGTAGTTAACTTTAGACTCAAAATCTGTCATCTACATATGGTTTTCCTGGCTATAGGAGTATGTTTGCAGCTATTTAAATACTGTATTATCTTTTGAGTTGCAGAAAGACAATGGGACCACTGGCATGCTGACAGAAAATGTGCTTCACCAAGAAATTGAAGGGCAGAATCAAGAACTGTCAGCTTTTTCTCAAGCAGTTACAAAGTAAGAAATTACTGAACACAAATCAGCTTTCAGAAGAGAAAGAAAAGTTCAATAATTTTCAGATAGGTTGAGAGGGCAGGTCCTACATTTTTTGCTTGATGGGGCAGATTTGTTAAATGGTTCAGTACTAAGTTTTTTTAGTTATCATGTTTCCTCTTTATTCTTTTCATCCCCTGACTTTCCTTTCATTGTTTTCCTTGTTTTTGTAATACTTTTAAATCCTCAAACTATTTATCTTTATTTCCATATGTTGATATTTCCTTCTATGCATTTTTAATAAAGTTTCTTTTGGAAGAATTTTAAGTCTTTTTTCCTTAGTTTTTGAAGTCTCTTTCTCCTCACTAAAGCCCATCATTCAATGGCATTTCTAACCCTTGTTTTCATTATTATTGCTTCCACAACTGGAATTCTTTAGCAAATAAAACCTTCACACTTTTTCTTGCTCTGATCAGGTGATGAAGTTTTTTAAAGTTCATACCAAAGAAGACAGGACTTGATAACCCAGAATGCCCCTTATATTTTTTGCTTACTGCCACAATTTAATGAAGGATAATTTTGGTTGTATTCTTCCTAGAGAAGAAAACGAGCCTGCCTTTTTTTCCCCTATCAAGATCAAATGACAAGAACTAATGGGGGAAATAGAGATCTTTTGAATCTGAAGGGTATCAGCTACTTTTTTAAAACAGAAATGTCTGTGGAATGAAACGCAAACTCCATAAAACCAGTGAGAGGTCACACTGAATAGCATGAAGAGAAAGCTCACATTAAACAGGATTGCTGCAACAGTTTCTAGTTAAGTGTAACTGTTGACCTTACTTTCCAGACTCAGTGCTTGAAATTCAGATGGACTTTTGACTGGACAAGTCTTGTTAGAGAGATTCCTTTTTTTTTTTTTTGCTCAGTCATGGAATTGTCAGTAATCAAGATGATCAAATAGGTGAACATTATAGATGAGTTTTGTTTTTTAATCTTCTATAGGACTTCTTCAATGTTAGCAGAAGCTTAGGGTTAAATTATTTTATCTATGTTAAATAATTAGAGAATAAATAACAGCTATCCAAGTACTGTCTGCTTGTTCCTAGGTGAATGTCTTATACTTTGTGTCCTACAGAAAAGCCTTGTCCTTAATTTAGGCCTATTAACTTCCACAATTTTTGCTTAGTATAAATTCATGTAAGATTTTAAAAAATTAAAACATGTAAAGAGTTTTGTGGTGTTTTGTACATAGAAAAAATTACCCTCTTAAAAACTCTTTAGACAAATGCCATGGGTTAGTTTTTTTTAAAACTGTGTTAGAACTTAGCTTCTGCAGAAGCTGGGTATGTCTTGTAAACAGTGACCTATTAAATATAAGCTGTATGGAAAACCTGTCTAATTATAAGCTAAGTTTTCTGTCCCTCTAACTACTACTTGTATAATTATTGTGGGCAGTGTTCTGTCAAGAGTAGAAAAATTAAATGGCGTTTTGTACATACAGTTTGTGTAAAGAGCAAAAGGTAGTATTTACTATTCTGGCTTATGGTTATTACCTTGTTATTTTGCTTTAGTTTTAGACTTATCCATTGCAATGTTTCATAAACCTTCTCTACTTTCAGATTGAGGACCAAGTTTCCTTACATTAATCAACAAACAAATCCAGGCTTTGTGCTGAGTCCAATCATGCTGCAAAGAAATATAAATGGGGAGAGTGCCAGTATCAAGGTTTCTATAGAAATTGAAGAATTCCAGCAACCAGTAACTTTTACATGTGATGGTATGTTTCTGCTTTTTAAATTAGAGTTTGCTTGTAAGACTTAGAGTGGTGGGATGAGGCTGGACACTCAGTTTAGGCCAATGACTTTCAGGGTTTGTAATCCCTGGGTCTCAGGGCCAGAATGGTGCATCAGGTTTGCTTGGCTTATCTTTCTAAATAAATATTTCACTTTATCAGCTTCTAAATATTTTCTGATGGAGGCACTGACCCAGAATTAGGGTCTTCAGTTACCTTTTTCACAATCCTCACAAGCAATCCAAGCTTCTGAGACTCAGGGATTACAAACCCTGAAAGTTGGCTGTTCTCAAACAAAATATATGAAGTTGCACTATTATTCACTTAAACTAACTATTCTACTGGAAAGTAGGCTCTCAATGCATAGGTGTTTTCATTCTATATTAGTTTGCTGGGCCTTATTCTGCTGTGATTTAATACTCCCTTGTTAAGAAATGAGATGGATTGTAAGTGTAGCCTAGGAAGGGTTTCTGCTTTTCATCCTTAAGATTACTCTTTCATAGTATTACAGGCTTAACCCTTTCCTATGAAAGACTTTGGTAGCATAAGTTAAAATGTTACGGCTTTAGCCCTTTATTTATAGAAGTTTTGTGAATACCTTGGAATATGTTTTGTATTCTAGCCTCACAAATCATTATTTGCACTTTCTTCTTTCTTCATGTATCTGATCACAGTTAAACTACTTGTCTTCCATAGCTAGTGAAAGCTAGGTATTCATCACTCAAAGTTATTCTTTTTAATTCCTTCTGTTCTTGGTCAAACTTTTGCATCGTTCAGTATCCTAATGCTAGAACTACTTTAGTATGGCTTTGAGACCTGCTTGGAAGGAACTGCAGCCTTTCAGTGTTCTGACAATTCAATGTTGGGAGGAAAGTAGATTAATTTTAGAGCTTATTTGTGTATACCTATTAATTTTGCATTAATTTATTATAGTTTACATGGAAGTACAAGTCTACCTGAGCAATCATTGCAGTCAACAAAAAATGAATATCCTTCAATAAGACAGAGGATGGGAATAAGGTGCTGATATTATCTTTGCATTACTCTGCTAGGCATTGTAGGACTAGCAGACAGACCTTCACTGATGCAGCCTGTAACTATAGCCCATAAACTGTTACTGCATCTTTTTATCAAGCACCATATTCTTTCCTGAAGGTAGTGCAGCAGTTTCATGCTAGATTAATAATAAGTTAAATAGTCTAGATAATGAGCTAAATAGTGTTTCTGAATTCTTTCGGAATTCATACTTCTTATCATGCCTTTTTGAATTTCACATGCTCATTCTTCATATGTTGTCAAATACCTTGATGCTTTTGATACTTAGTCACCTGTTAATGAGATGAAGCTCTTGAATTATCTTCTGGGAAATATTATAGTGACATTAGCCCTTTGTATCCAACATAGTAACATTTCTTTCTTAAAAAATATATATATTTGGGGAAAATTAGGAAGGTCCTTGAAGTGGGAAAAACCTCGCCACTCTGAAGGTACAGAGTTTAGAGGTGTCATTGCTTGCAAATTATTTTAAGGAGATAAGAACGTTTGTGGTATTAAAGTGTATCTGTATTTTTCAACGTTGACAGCTGGTGGCTGTGGAGGAATGGATTTTCAGTTTGCCTGGGACTGTTTCTTTTGCTCTGTAGTCACTGGATCAAGACAGAGACAGTTCTCAAAAAAACCTTTGGAGCCTGATGTATTTAAGAGCTGATTTTTGCAAAAACTTGGTGATGCTTACTGGAATCTGATCTGTGTGACGTGGAAATAGCCCTAGACACATCAGAAAGAAAAAGAAAAATGGACTTTCCATAGGATTTGCCTCTGCTACAGCTGATGCTTTCTCAAAAGCAAAAAAATTAGAGAATTTACTTCTGCAACTCTTCAGATAATGATTTTTAAACTTTAAGCAGCTCTGAGATCATGTACCTAGTTGAATTCCTTGCTGAATAAGGCTAATTTATAATTTAAAAAAAAAAGGCTCATAATTTAAATTCCTACAAAACAGACTGTGGGCTGCTGTTGTGCTTCTGGTGAAGTGATTATACTGTATCCTATGTTAAAAAGGATTTTTTTCATTTCTTAAACTACAGTCAAGTTTTATAAGATGCCTTTCTTTGCAGGGAGGAAAAAACAAATTCTCAAAAAACTGATTCTCAAATTGAAATTGAGGAGATTATAGAAGCATAGGAGTCTTTCCTAAGAGCATACAAATAAATTCCATTTTAAAACTACAATTTGTGAATGAACAGTTGTTCATATCTCTGCTATCGACTTATATTTAACTTCTAGATGTAATTTCTTTAAACAGTGAGTTCCCCTGTTGAGCTTATAATAATGCAGGCACTTTGCTGGGTGCATGATGACTTGAGTGAAGTGGACTTTGGCAGCTATATCCTCAAAGTCTGTGGCCAAGAAGAAGTTTTACAGAAGTAAGCAAACTTTTTCATTAATATTTAACTTCATGCTTTTTCATGGCACAGTTACATCTTTAACAATTACATGTGTGAAAGCAGAAATCTTAAAAATGTAGAAGAGTCACATTTTGCACACGAATCAGAAGTCTTCAGAGTTGCTCTGGAATGTACCAAAGTAGGTTCTCAGCACCTTCCTAAAAATTTCTTCTAGTATTTGTTGTATTAAACAGAAACAGTTGTTTTCAGATGCAGATTTCTATAGAGCTTTACTGTAGAAGGATGTTGTAGTTTTCAGCTCCTCTTCAAATCCCAGCACTCAGAAAAAAAATCTGATTTCTAATAATCTGTGAATAATTTAGGACTCCACATTAGTTTTCTGGTAAAAATATTTGGTTTCATTTTTAGTCACAATAGTTTTAGCAAAAGTATAGGTATCTGTAACAGTATACTAAAACTTCTACAGAAGTAAAGACCGGATCAAGAAGTATGATGTGGAGGTTAATTTACCATTTCCTTACTTTGAGCCAACAGGTTTTTTTGAAGAACACAACATATTTTTGGTGTAACTATAGCTTTCTTTTCTTTACCAGTAAGCACTGTGTAGGAAGCCATGAATATATTCAGAACTGTCGGAAGTGGGACACGGAAATCAAGCTGCAGCTCTTGACCCATAGTGTCATATGCAGAGATCTGGCTCGAACAGTAAGTATAAATCTTCAGGAGACTGGGAGTTTGCATCACAGCTAATGTACCTGCAGTGTATCCTTTTTGTCTGATTAACAAATTAGTATGTCTGCTTGGTGTTAGGAATTGTATTCTCTCATACTAAGAGGAAATGAGATATATACTGAATTTTTGCAAGGCTATGATATAGGTAATGTCCCTTACTAGACCAAGTACTATAGCTGGAAAAAAATATGCAAGCATTTGGACTTGAGGCCTGAAAGAGAAGCAGCGGGTTTCAGAGTTGAGTAGAAATTGAGAACAGTTTTTTATTTTATTTAGGTATGTATGAGCCTATTAAAGAGGAAGGGAGAAATATTTGACTCACTGTTTCTTCCCTCTTCCCCCTGTCCCAGTGTGTACATGTTTCATAGGCTATTAATTAGTTATCTCTTCAAAGAAGAAAATAGATCACCATATCTCTTTCCCCTTCTGCTCCACAGTTACTAGTAATGTAACTTCTAAAACAGTATTACAAATTATAGAATGGTGAGAACTGGGTTTAATAGGTAGTATTTTATTGCAGGAAGATGATGACAGAACACCCATACATCTAACCAAACACCTCTACAAAGTAGAAAAGCCTTTCAGAGAGCCTATTATAAGGTAATATTATGTGTTTATTTTGGTACTCAAGCCCACCACTGAATTTCTGACCAAGGTTATGTTACGCTCTTGTACTTGTGTTCAATAATTGCTATTTCTTGCAGGCCTTCTATTGATGAGCTTCTTGATGTGTATCACAAGCATGTTAACATAGCTCTTAAAACTGAGGTAAGGGCATCTTAATTTTTTTTCTGAACCAAAAGTAGCATGAGAGAGTTTGCTGATGAGATAGTTGGAAAAAAGACTTGCAGGTGTTCGTGGAGAAACTGACATCTGAACAAGCTATCAAATGGAAATTTGGGATCATGGGTTTTTAGATTGCTTTTCCTCTTTTCTTCAAGCTATTCTTGCAAACTAATTATTATCTGTATGTCACAAGTAGAAATCTATCTTCTGAGTCCTGGGGTGCAAAATTAACTTTTCCTCAAAAATGCTGGAAGAGATTAATTCAGGGGAATAGGGAAAAAAGGTCTGAATCCCAGGTACGTCAGTTGTTCTCAGCCACGAATGAGATGTAGGTAATGGATAAAAATCTACACAAAAGTGAGCAGTAATAGTTGTGTACAATGGGAATTATGATTGAAGTATGTTTGGAACATACAAGTTTTCCACCCAGTGTAATAACATCTTACTCTGCATGACTGAATTAATTTAAAACACAGTGTCAAAACAATTATCTGTTTGGGTGTATGATAGGTAGCTTAAAACAGCTTGTGTGCGGAGCAGTTTGGAATAATTTCCCAAATGCAAAAGCTAGCTGAAGATGACCTGTTTTACTGTCAGAAGTTAAAATAAGCTTCTCCTTTTAGAAATTAGTACTGTAACTTGAAGACTTAAACAGTTTCTATAAGAACAGTCTTGAAATTAGTAACTTAATTACAATACTTCTTGTTTCCTTTTACATTTGTTTGCTTCTCCAGGAATGCAGGTCTGAACAAGCTGATGTCCACTATTTACATATTCCCTTAATGTTTTTTAATTCCCTTGATGGTGATTCACAGTGTTCTCAAGGGTAGTTTTGAACACAGTCTTTTTGTTAGAGTAGTTGTTACTTCTCCTCCATATGGTGGTGTTTTTGTTGTTTTGCTCTTGCAGCTGCTTCAGCTTGCTTGTTTAATTGTGATTTCACAAGCTAGGGTGAAGAATGTAAAACATCTCAGTTCAGACTTGTGTTCTACTCTTTCTACAGTCTATTTTGAGGATGGGAGGTGTAGCTTATAGGTGATGAGGATTAGGTCCAAATATCAGCAGTTGTTGCATTTGAAACATTTCTTATGTCCTGAAGTGAATTCCTGTACATACTCAGTAGCTGCAGCTTCCTAATCAAAGTGAAACAGGGTGAAGTAATTTGTAAATGCATTTGTTTATAGCCTTTGATTTCACATTGTTGCACAATTTAAAAAGTTACCTATTGTCTTTTTGTTGACATTCATTTGAGAGCCTGTGAGGAAAATAGCAGTGGAAATTTTGCTTTTCATGTTACCCAAGCAGCTGTTATCTTCCAAGTGTTATGTTTGGAAGTATGGCTTAAATATTTACAATGTCTTCTGACTTCTATGGTTATTTTCTTACCAGGACAAAGTTGTTGTCAGGTAATCCCAATACCAATTTTTTAAAATTCAAATAGCTTTCTGACTTTCTGAAAGAAACCTATATGTTAAGCCTTTAAAAAGTAAACCATTATTTTGAAACAAATATTTTCATTTTCTTCAGTTGTTCTTTAAAATTGGTTGAACACTTTGCTTATATTAAGAAACAAAAACCAAGCCACCTAGGATTTTTTAGATTTAAATTAAGAGGCTTTTCTTCTATTTGAAGAGAAAAAGGAAGAGAATTTTAGGAGCATCTCAAATTGATCTTAAGCAGCCTGACCAACGTTTTCACTCTGATAAGAAGCTGATCTATTTCTTTCAAAAGAGGTTCCTGTTATGTGTGCAATACTTCTTCAAGATGACTATTTTAGATTCCTTCATCTGAAAGAACCATTTTAATTTAGAAAATACGTAAAGCAAAAGTTGCAACAAACTTTTTTCAAAAGTACATTGAAGTAAATAAAGTGCCATTCTGTAAGCTATACTGTGGAGTAATTGTAATTTGAACCTATATGTGTAAGAGGACTGAAGTGGAAATACTGCTTCTTTAGCATTCCTTCCTCACAGTAACTGAATGTTGTTGGGGAAAAAAATAATCGTTGGAAGCCTTGTTATGTTTCCTGGGACACCATTCTAGAATGTGTACTATTCCTATGTTGTTGAAGTTAATAAATGAGCTATAAGGAAGTTCATAATACTGAGGTTTTACCCTGCAGTTTAATGTAGTTGAGATGTGCCTGATGAGATTTTCTTGGCTATTCATTCTAAAAGAAAAGAAAATGAAAGCAATGCCTGTTTTCACAATTGTCATCAGATAAATCTGTTCTTTCATACTTTCTTTATTAGAACCAGCATAAAGCAGTAGATCATGTAATTAAGACTGTCAGAAAAATCTGTTCTACATTGGACTGTGTAGAGACTCAAGCAATAACGGAATCGGTGAAGAAGCTCAGGAGAGCTGTTAATCTTCCAAGGATTAAAAATGCAGAGGTAAACTTTCTCACTATAAATTGCATTCTGAGGTATGCTTTTTAACACTAAATACTATTTAATAATCTTTGGTAGTTGCAAATACCAGCAAAGTTCAGTCAGGGTGATGTATTTTATTTTTGTTTAACCTGATATCTTCTATTTGTGCATTTATCTTCTATTTATGCATTAATCACTTGCTTTTGGAATCCTTTGCTGTTCTAAATAGTGACATTTCTAAAAACTAATTTTAGAATACAGTTTTTGGGTTTGGTAACTACAAACTTGTGTCACAGTAAATGCCACTTGCTCTGCCCAAGGGATACTGATAGCTAGCTCATGCCCTCTAAACCCAATGCGTTCATGCTTCAAGGAAGGGTTCATATTGTGTATTTTCTGTGCAGTATTTATATGAACAGCAGTAGCATCTTAGAGCTTAAACAGTTCATGCTCCTGCATTCCTTAGCATATTGACAAAAGTTTAAAACTTTAAAATAGCACAGATTTTGGTGCTAAAACTGCCTTACAGTGAAAAATTCACTTGAGCAGAATTGGTGTCAAGCCGTGTTATCAAAAACAGTCATTAAATGGAGCAGTGTGCTAATAAAAAAAACTAAATAGTCTTGCTGTTTCTGTTGTCCTGCTGCCTTATACGAGTGGTGATTTATGTGCTGTTCTATGCCTTTTTGGCTTCATTAGTTCAACAATATATTTGTTATACTGGTGGAAGTATTGCAAAATGCACACACTAAATAGAGTTGTCAAAAGAACTAAAATTCTTGTGGGGAAATGCAGAAAACAAATTAAGAAAACTTACTGAAATACAGTGTATCAAATATTACTTCAGTGTTTGCTTTTTGATAGGAGAAAGCTGTAGAAATAACTAGATTGCTGTGTAAAAATAACTTCCAGAATAATGGTATCCCAGTATAATTTGAGAAAAAAAAAAAGAAATTATCATTAAAACCCTGCAGTTCTCTTGTGATGAACCTTACCGTTTAAGCGAATGTGTATGAAGGCATATTGGATTGCCTTCAGAAATGAAATTGCTGTGAAGACTGGAGCCAGTTGCATCTAAACCTTATCTAAGATGTTGATTTCATTTTTGCTGTTTTCTAAGTAACTGTTGTGTGGTTGGAAGAAGTGGCCAAAAAGTAAAAGAAAACAGTAGACTGTCAAGTAGAAAATTACTTGGATACTGCTGCTTCAAGTTTGGCATCCTGTCATCCAAAAGTACTTGGGCTACTTGACAAGTAATGGTGGAAACATACAGCAGTTATTGTGAAAGGGAAAAATGGTGTGATTTTTTTTTCTTAAGTTTCTGCATGTTTTTTTCATAAGAATGTGAAGTTTTTTGATAGCTAAAACTTAATGTTGACAAGATAATTAATACACTAAAAGCATAAGGAGAGCTTTCATTCTTCAGCAGTTGTGGCAAACGTCTTAGACTTTATTTGAACCATTAGAAGTTCACTGGGCTTTGTTTTTAAATCACAAACTTAGTTTTCATTAAAAGTTTTAGTTTTATTAGAAGTTGAATTTGGCCTGAAACCCTTCCTCATTAGAAGGGATGTAAATTCCCATGATTTTTCACCTTTTGCTTCAAGAGTGTCCTTGTTGAAACTAGACATTGCTGTAATACTGTATCATGTTTAGATTTCCAGTTTTGCAGACAAAGAAGCAAACACAGCAGATAGTATGAAGTGACAGTACTTGCTGTTCAGTTTTCTCAGTTGTTTGATGTTTTTTATTCAGTAACTGTAGTGATTTTGGGCCCAACACAACAACAATGGCCACCCACTCAATTCCCACACACACACGCTTTGGGATGAGAAGCACAAAGCTCATGGGTCGAGACAAAGGACAAGGAGGGTTCTCCACTGATTAAGGTCACGGGCAAAACAGACTCAACTTGGGGAAAATAATAATTTAATTTCACACTAATCAAACACACGCAGGACTCGGACAACACAAAGAGCAGAGCTTACATACGTTACTCCCACCCTTCCCTTCTTCCTGGGCCCAAATCACTTTGATCCTGGTTTCTCTCCCTCCTTCCCCCCAGCAGCACAGGGGGACAGGGGATGGGGCTTAGAGTCAGTTCACAGGCTGGTGGTTCCTGCTGCTCCCTCCTCAGGAAGAAGGATTCCTTACAGTCCTCCCCTGCTTCCCCATGGGGTCCCTCCCATGGAAGAGAGTCCTCCACGAACCTCTCCTTCATGAGTCCTTCCCATGAGGTCTGGAGCTTCTCCAGCCTGGGCTTCCCACAGAGTCACCAGCTGCTTCGGGAACAAACTCCCCTGGCACTGGGGTCTTTCACAGCTGCATAGTCAAAAGTCCACTGGCAGCAAATCCTCTGGCTGCAAAATCCAAGTCCAGTGGCCAAGTTCACCCGTCCTGGCACCTTCAGGGAATGTTCCACCATATTCTTTCACAAGTACAGGACAGCTGCCATCCTGCCATGGGTTGCAGGGAAACTTCTGCTTGGGCACCTTCTTCCTCACCCACCATCAGCAGTGCTCTCCTTCCCCAGCACAGCTCTTCTCTCTCAAGTGCCTCTGCTCAGGTGTTATAGCTGTTCTTCTGTATGTTAATTGCTGAGGCACATCTGTTGTCCTTCTGATGTCTCTTTGGCTGGGTTTTGGAAGCAGGGGGAGCTTCTCAGCTTCTTACCGGAGCCACTCCTGTGGACCTTCCCCCGCTACCAAAAAACCCACCAAACCAGAACAGTAACTCTGCCTACAAAAGATACCTTAATAAATGGCATAAGAGCTGTTCAGACTTAAATTATGGGGTAATAGAGCCAACAGCTTTTGCTTTCATCCATAACAGCCCTGACTGAGTTGTATTCCTGCTCAGAGAAATTGAGTACCCTGAGCAATATTCCAATGTATTGTGTTTCTTGAAAGAGTTGTAAATGGTGATAAAATAGTTGTGACTTGACAAAATGTGACCTTTGAGCTTGGTGAATAGGCGCTGTGTAATATGGAAATTAGGATGCTGTCAGTTAACTCTTGAGGAACTTTGAGGAAAAAAATGTATTACATAAATGCAAATATGAGCCTAATTCAAATGTATTATCATTTCTATACAAGATACTTCAATGGAAAATTAATACAGGTTTCTTGGTTTTGAAATTTGCTCTAACTTTACTGTGTAGGTGTCCCTAAAATGTGGTGATGACACTAGCAAGAGCTCATCTGGTGAGTGAAGTTTTTCTATTTTATTTTAAAACTGCTTTCAAGTGGCTATTTTAGGAAGATATGTGTTAAAGATAAACTACAATTTAGGTTCACTGCAGCCTGAAAACCCTCTGAAAGTCAATATAGACCAGTTAACAACAGCAGTTGAGGCCCTTCTGCAACTCCACATGAATTCATGTAGCAGTTCTGCAGCAGTTTCTCCAAACGATAGCAGGAGTGCTAAGGAAGCATGGACTGCCACAGAACACCTCCAGTTCACAATATTTGCTGCACATGGGATTTCATCTGGTTGGGTATCAAAGTGAGTAATTTATAATTTATAAAATTCATCCTTTCGTAGATTTTTTGTTTGTTTAATTTACTTTCTTTTCCTTGTCCAGTTATGAAAAATACTACTTGGTTTGTTCTCTGACCCATAATGGAAAAGATCTGTTTAAACCTGTTCATTCCAAGAAGGTTGGCACGTACAAGAACTTCTTCTACTTGATTAAATGGGATGAATTGTAAGTGACTTTAGTATGTTAAAACTCACTGAAATGTTTGGAATAGTACCTATCTGGCTAGCTGCTGAATACAGTCATTCAAGCAACTCTTGCTTCTGATTCTATTTGAAGTGTTGAAGGAACAATGTGTGAGACTTACTGACCAAAATCAGAAATATTTGTTTCCAAATGGTATTTAACTATTCATTTTAAAAGTGAAACTGGAAATGCTGGACAAGTGCCTCTGCTGATGTGTTTGTAGTATACAATCATAAGGAATTGGGAAGGTCACAGGATTCCTTGTGATGGGAACAGCCTGTGCTGCTTAAAGACGGATGGATAAAATTCCTTATAAGCAGTGCTCAAATTATATAAAAGAGTGGGGGAGGAAAAGCAACTCACATTAATTATTAATAGTTTTTTGTTCCAAATCTGAATTTAAACATCTAATGTAAAATTATTTCTATAAAGACAGCAGATGCATAAATGCTTAAGAGTGCCTGTAGCATAGGAGAATGTCTGGTTTGAGCTATTAAACTTCAGTTTCTCTTTATAGGGCAGAGGAATAGGGTAGGAAGGAAGAAGGAGGGTCATGCAGAGAAGAAATAAGGAGAGGATGGCAGGTGATAACTGAGGGGAAAGTATTTTTCATGATCTATGTACAGCTTACTCTTTTCTACTTAATAGTTAACAGGAAGCCTGTTATAACTGGAGCTTTGGGTGAGCTCCATGTTGCCTTATATCTATTTTCCTGACTATTTTTAAGGGTGAGAATAGATTCTGAGGAATATTGTGGAAGTCTACAGTGACAAATTATTTCAGACCAAGAGTGAGATTTTCAGATTCTAGAATACCTGCCATCAGAGAGTACTTCAGCTACCTCTTTTTACCACAGATGCAAGGAATGGACAGATCTTTTGCTTGCAAGTACTAGTGTGTTACAGTGAAAGATGCTAGATTGCTTATAAGTTTGCCTTATATAGTTGCAGTGTTTTATAGTAACTGCTTTAGCAGTTTGCTGTGATAACTTTTAGAATGGTATTTGCGAGTGTTACAAAACATCAAACTTAAAGAACATTTAAAGCAATAAAAACAGGGTAAACAAAAAGTTTGAATTGCTCAGTGAGATGTATTCTGCTTTCTTTATGGGTGGTGGTTTTTTACGATGTGAATTTAGCTTTCAATAGTTCTTAACAGATTCTTTCATTTGGATAGGAAACTGTTGTCAGATGACTAAAAGTGAGAGATTAGGAAGTGGCTCATGTGGAACTGTGCGTCCCCATAGTGAGTAAAGTGGGAAGACTGGTTATGCTGGACAGTAGGGTTCTGTGTAAGGAATGTGATGTAATAGGCAAACATTAAAAAGGGTTGCTCTAGATTTGGCTACAGAGCAGAAGTGTAATTCAGCAGGGTTTGCAAACTATTGGTAGAGTGAAAGTGGAGTGAAATATGATTGTGTGGAAATGTAACACTTGTTCTTCAATGTTAATTTTTTAAAACAAGGGGCATCAACAGGTTGTATTGATAAACCTGTAACTTACTAACAACTGTCTGTCCTCTGACTGACTTATTTTTAATACTTTTATTTTACAGAATAATTTTCCCTATCCAGATTTCACAGTTGCCTTTGGAAACAGTCTTATGTCTGACTTTGTTTGGAATCTTAAATCAAAGTAGTGGGAGTTCTCCTGACTCAAATAAGCAGAGAAAGGGCCCAGAAATGTTGGGTCAGGTTTCTTTGCCTCTTTTTGATTTTAGGAGGTAAGTATCCAAAATATGGATAAGATTATTAATAGTTATTTACTCTATATAAAGCTTACTCAACTCTCATAACTGTAGAAACTGCATCTCTGCCACTGAATATAGTAGGCCATGATAAAGGTAAGAATGAAACTGTATTGTTATGGAAATAATACCTTCAATTAAATATAGTACAAAACATGGTCCTGTGTTATAGTATTTCCTTCTAACTGGCTGAAAGAAACTTAACCTACTGGAGGAAGCTGAATATTGTTTGGATGAAAGCACTTTTATTTACAGGAAATCTTCATGGCAGTGTGGGCCAGAAGAGGTGGTGTTAGTACCAGCTGTTTATGCAGCAGTTGAGCATCTAAGCACAACTCAAGCTGGCCCCACTGACATTCAGATGTTGCCCTGTTAAGTCATTTATAGTTAAAGTATCTGCAGGTGTCACTGTCTATTGAATTGATAGCTTCCCTTCTACTGGAGGAATGTGGTCTTGGTAGGTGGCATTTTTTGAGTTCTACTATCTGATTAGATCTAACAGTACATCATATTGGCTAGAGGTAGTTCAGTTGGTAATCACATATATTTTAGCAGAATAAGTGTAAACAGCCAGTTCATGAGCCATGGTGGCAGAGAATGCAACTTTTAAGAGTTTGTAACAAGCCCTGGATTCAGCATGGATTGTATCTAGTGCAACACATAAAATGATAGAATGGTTTGGGTCGGAAGGGACTTTAAAGATCATCTGGTTCCAACCCCCCTGCTTGGGCCAGGACACCTCCCACTAGCCCAGGTTGCTCAAAGCCCCATCCAACCTGGCCTTGAACACTTCCAGGGAGGGGCATCCACAACTTCCCTGGGCAACCTGGGCCAGTGTCTCACCCCATTCATAGTGGAGAATTTCTTCCTAATATCCAATCTAAATCTACCCTCTTTCAGTTTAAAACTTACCCCATGTCCAGTAACGATATGTCCTTGTAAAAAATCCCTCCCCAGCTTTCCTGTAGCGCCTTTAGATTCTGGAAGGTTGCTCTAATGTCTCCCCAGAGCCTTCTCTTCTCCAGGCTGAACAACTCCAGCTCTCTCAGCCTGTCTTCACAGGAGAGGTGCTCCAACCCTCTGACCATCTTCATGGCCCTGGACTCTCTCCAGGAGCTCCATGTCTTCCATGTGTTTGGGGGCTCCAGAGCTGGACACAATACTCCAGGTGGCCTTTCACAAAAGTGAAGTAGAGGGGAAGAATCACCTCCCTAGACCTTTTGCTCATGGTTCTTTTGATGCAGCCCAGAGTACATAACAGAACAAATGTAAATGTGCTGTGCTTCCATCATATGACTGGGAAAGAAGCACTTCTGCCCTTAAAGCTGTCTTAAGATAGGAAAGAATAGCTCTTATCTTCACCCAGACCTGTTTGTAGGGCAAAATATGATGGCTCAAATTTTTTTACACAGAAGACCTTTAAGGTCTGATGTCTTTCTAAGTACTATTATTCTTTGAGGCATCTTTGCCTTGGCTGCAAGATGGTCAGGGCTGCATGTTTCATAACGTTACATATACAGGAGTTAAACTGGAGAATTTTTTATACATTGATTTTTTCCTTTAATCCTTTAAAAATTGGTGAATCAGATAATAGGGTCATAATATATAAGTGAGCAAGGAAATCAAAATACCATTTAAAATTTTTAGATATATTTTTAAATTTTGGTGTATTTTCATAGATAGGAGAAAAAGTAATTTTATATGGTAACTTTTCCAGCTTGGGGGATGCTTAAGACGTCAGGCTTGCCTGCATGGTAGAGATGGCCTGTGGCTGTTTTCAGCCACCACTGAAACTTGGATTTCTTTTCCTATATGGTGTTTATTTCAGCCTTCTGCTTAAATTTTGCATTTCAGTCTCTGTCCAAATACCACATTTTGCAGTATTAGCTTGAAAATGTAGCTTTTGTTTGGATTTCAATTGCAAATTTTTATTGTCTTCATGCTGCATTATGTTCTCATAGTAGTTTGGAGAGAAAACTGTATTTTCTGTTTATGCACTACAATAGGATGTGTTGTGCCAGGGTTTACTGAATGGCCTGTATATGATAGCTGTAGAGATGCTAATCCACTTGCATTCTATATAAATTAAATTCAGACCTAGTTAATTAAACATACAAGCCAAATATTCCAGTTACAGCTAAGAATAGCATCAACAGCAGGCAGGAGCTAAAACTTGTAGCTAACTAAAACATAGAAAGATTAAAAGGTCCCTTAAGATTAAGTAGGCTGTATTCTTATTTTTAAAGACTGATACAAGTTTTCTGTGCCTACCATTGAGAGCTTAACTGATTTATGAAGTATTCTCAGTTTTGCCTTACTGCAATTGGAAATGATATTAATGCTGGGAATAAGCTGGCAAATACAAACTGTAGAATCTAGTAATGTGGAGAGTCCAGGCAATGGTGATCTCTGTAATATTCATATACCTGTGCCTTTTTTCTGAGAAGGTAAGAAGGTGTATGTAAGAAACTGGCTGGGTGGCCATGCCCAGAGAGCTGTGATAAACAGGGTTAAATCTAGTTGGCAGCTGGTTACCAGTGGAGTCCCTGAGGGCTCAGCTTTGGGGCCAGTCTTGTTCAACATCAATCTGGATGAAGGGATTGATTGCACCCTCAGTAAGTAAAGAACTCCCTCCCAAATGGGTGGGAGTGTTGATCTGCTTGAGGGAATGCTTTGCAGAGGGACCTAGACAGGCTGGATCGATGGGCCAAAGCCAACTGTATAAGGTTCAGTAAGGCCAAGTGCTGGGTCCTGATTCTGGTCACAACAACCCCAGGCAATGCTACAGGCTTGGGGAAGAGTATCTGGAAAGCTACGTAACAGAAAAGGACTTGGGGGTGTTGGTTGCCAGCCTGATGAACATGAGCCAAAAAGGCCAAGAGCATCCTGGTGTATATCAGGAATAGCGTGGCCAGCAGGAGTAGGGAAGTGATCGTGCCCCTGTACTCAGCACTGGTGAGGCCACACCTTGAGTACTGTGTGCAGTTCTGGACCCCTCACAGTAAGGAGGACATTGAGGTGCTGGAATGTGTCCAGGGAAGAGCCACCAAGCTGGTGAAAAGTCTAGATAACAAGCTATATGAGGAGCAGCTGAGGGAACAGGGGTTTGGTCTGAAGAAAAGGAGGCTGAGGGAAGACCTCATCACCCTCTACAACTACCTGAAAGGAAGTTGTAGGGATGTGGGTGTTGGCCTCTTCTCCCAAGTAGATAATGATAGGACCAGAGGAAATATCCTGAAACTGTGGCAGGGGAGGTTTAGATTGGATATTAGGAAGAATTTATTTACTGAAATAGTGTTCAGGCACTGGAACAGCCTGCCCAGGGAGGTGGTAGAGTCACCATCCTTGGAGGTATTCAAGAAACGTGTAAATGTGGGACTTCGGAGCATGCACTAGTGACTGAGGTTGTAGGGGAGATTTTTGTGCGTGTTTTCTGGTGGAGTGTGTGTGGTGTTTGTGTGTGTTTGGGGGTTTTTTTGTGTTGATGGTTGGACTTTGTGGTCTCAGAGGTCCTCTCCAACTATGACGATTCTGTGATTAAGAAATAGGGAGCACTTAATTTTGCTGTGTCAGCACTCATCTTTTGCCTTTGCCTTTTCCACCTAGAAGTTGTATGCAGCATTTTAAAGGACTTAAAGTATAGAAGATATTCAGTGAAAAGAAATATGATTACCAAGTGTCAAATTAATTGAATTCCCCTTGTTAAGTTTAAAACTGTATTGGCTACTACAGTTTGATTTTTTTCTGTGTTTCTGAACATCAATGGTAAAATACTCATCATAAGAGAAGTTCTTATTTCTGCAGCAAAAACATACTTAGTTGGAACTCTTTCTACACCACACTAATATTTTAGAGTTGTTTTCTTTGACCATTGATCTTCTCCAGATAGTATTTTAATAACTATATTGTGAAGTAAATAGATCATGATACAATACCTGTACCTGCTTTTGTTTTTTTTTTCTCAGATTGTTAACTTGTGGGACAAAACTCTTACAACTCTGGACCTCATCACATCCACATCATGTACCAGGGGTGGCCAGTAAGAAAGGAAATACAGAGAAAATTGTACTGCAGGTACTGACTTGATCTAACTATGGTTTGTTTTTTTAATATTGTGACTTGTAACTCTTACATGAGTGGTAATAAATCAATATTTTGTGTAAATATTGCATAGTCATAATTGAAAGGCAGTATAGAATAGTGATTACTAAACCAGAAGGGCAAGGAATGGAAAGTTGCTCTTAAGTGTGTACAAGTCAATTACTGAATCACTTTCTTGACGTAAGGGAAATTGTAGATGCCTTGGTGGTACATGCTGTCAGTATTTGGAGAGAACATACTGAAAAGCAGTCTATAGAAATGTATGCAGAGGAATTGTCTCAATGCAAACAATAGCAATTTCAGTTTCTTTCCAGAACATAAGCACCTCTCATTCTAAGCTTAGAGTCCATATTTCTCTCTGAAGAGAAGGGTCCTTGTTAGGCATGGCTTGCCAGTTATAAAAGGGTCAGAGTTGTTGGTTGGGTTGAGACTTTTAATAATTCTGTGTTTAGTCTCTAAGCATTCTCACTTCCCTCCTGAGGAGTTCTCCAGCTACTGGATTGTGCAGCAATACAACAGTCATATGTTTAGGGACCACAGTTATGTAGAAGAATTTAGATGGAAAAAAATACTCAGAATACATTACCTAAGAACTGTTACACATGGAGAACTCAAGTGTTAAGATGCTTGAACACCCAAGGTTGCTGAAAGTGGCAGCTTTCTGTATGGTTCATGAGGATGTGCATCATCTTTCTTTTTTTCTTTTTTTTTTTTAGATTGACTTCCCATCCCATGCTTTTGATATTGAATATAAAATTCCTCAAGCTGCAAAGACTACTGTGCATCATTCCATAGAAACACTAGAAAAACCATTGAGAGAACGTCTCCTTGGCATTCTTTCCAAGGATAACACTATTGGGTATGTTTATCTCTAGCTATGGTCTCTTTGTATGTTACAATTTGTGGCCAGGGTATGGAATGCTTATTTATTCTTAGTTTCTTTTAATATGGTTCTAGTACAGTTTGAAGACCTGTGAAGACTTAAACAAGAGATGGAATCAAACTTGAAAAATAATGGTGTTGACTTAATGAATTTACTGGTGCTTTTCATGGTGTCAGTGTATTCTCCTGTTAAAAGATCAACGACCTTATGACTGCCTGTTGTAAATGTGTATTTTCTGCTTGGCAGCTCTTCAGTTACATGGAGCAGTGGCAATTTCAGCAGTGGCTGTTCATATGGCATGGAAGCTTTTCTGGCAGGCTTTCCCACTCATCTGCACCAAACTAAGATTAACATTTTGGTTTATTTCAGATTATGCTAAAACTGGTTTTTGTCCTGCCCAAATCATAATGTTAAACAAGTGTTACTGTGATGCTTGAGGCTGTATTTTTTGCTTCTTGTTTTGACTTTTGTGGAGGAAGTAGCCATATTAATTTGATTATATCTTGTGTGTTATCTTTATGTGTCAAATTGCCACTAGCAATGGGGTTATTCAGGTGATGGTCTGTAATGTGTGTTATGAACCAAAATGCTTTTGTCTGCAGGCTGTCAAAAGAAGATAAAGAATTTCTATGGGAGAAGAGACATTATTGTCATAATCATACTAGTAGCCTACCAAAAATACTGGCTAGTGCCCCTCACTGGGACTGGGCAAGTCTTCCAGAAATATATTCATTACTTCAGCAGTGGCCTCCTTTATCACCCTTAGCTGCACTGGAACTACTTGATTCAAAGTAAGAAAAACAATGTAAAGAACCTCTTTCTGTGCATTGTGCATCAAAGGACTTTTCTTCAGTAGAAGATTCATAATGACATCCTTGTGCAAAATATTGCTGAGTTTCTTGTAGCAAAAGCTAAATTTGCTTGAAATTTTGAAGAGAATGCTTGCTTTAGTCATGTAGGTTTAACCAAGTCATGATGTGATAGAGCAGCAGTAGTGGTTGGGATTCTGAGATCCAATTTGCAACAGGAGATCAAGGTGTACAGCCCAGGTATCCAGACTGAGGTTTTGAGAGATGAGGATGCTTGTCCTAAACACACGTTTCCATCCTCAGTAATGAAGAACCTCAAAATTTTAGGTCCTTTATTGAGCTATTAAAGAGTTTATATTGGTTGTTTTGTATCTAGCTGATCTCAAAAACCAAAAAAACCCTACATGAACAGAATAAACCTAATGTGGATTTGTGGTGACTTTCTAGATTTGCTGATCAGGAAGTACGAAGTATGGCTGTGAATTGGATGGAGACATTAAGTGATGACGAGCTAACAGATTTCCTCCCTCAATTTGTGCAGGTAAGACTTTCTGCCTACACTGAAGTTTGATTTTTTTTATTTTTTTTTCTCTTGAAAAGCCACAGTTATTGCTGGTTACTAGTAGCAGAAGTGCAATTGCATGCCTCATTATTTAATAACCTTAATGCATGGTATGGAAAACAATTTGAGTAAGTAATCACTGCAACTGTGCTATGCATTTGTGGTGATTCTGTCTGTGCATTAGTCATAAAATCTCAGTCTTCAGCTATGATTAAATCAAGTCCTGATTTATTTAATTTTCTTTGTATCTAGGCATTGAAGTATGAAACCTACCTTGACAGTGCTCTTGTCAAGTTTCTTTTGGCTCGGGCACTGGGAAGCATTCGAATAGCACACTATCTATATTGGTAAGTTGTTCTTTGTTCCATTGTTCACTTAATGTTTGCCATAAGATTATTTTCAGAAAAAAATTTCTTTGTTAATATCATAGTTAATAGCAATGAATGTTATGAATGGAGAGGATACAAAATGCAGGTCTTTTTTATTTCATGAAAAAAACCATACCATGCCTTTGCAAGAGGCAAACTTCTTTCATTTTGTATCTCATGTTATCAGTGGGTACATGTGGCTATATATAGTACTGATTCATTCAAATAATTTCTTGTCTTAGTATTACATTATTTGTGGTATTTTCTTTTGGAAAATTTAACTTAAATCCTTTATTTCAGGCTCCTTAAGGATACGCTGCATGATACGAAGTTTGGTGTAAGGTATGAGCAAATTCTTGGAGCTTTTCTTTCAGTCTGTGGAAAAAGGCTGAGGGAAGAGCTTGAGAAGCAGACCAGACTGGTGCAGCTTTTTGGAATGGTAGCAGAAAAAGTAAAGCAAACAAGTGGATCTGCTCGGCAGGTATGTATGTATTTTTAATATTCTTTAGGAAAATTAGACTATTGAATTGCATTCTTAGTCAAAGTTCAATAAAATATTTTATGTAATATATAAGAAGATCTATGAATCTATTGCTCTGCATTTTAACAAGATAATGGCTTATTGAAGCTGATGTTTTTGTCAAATTTGTTGTCATCTGAAACATAAGGTTGTGTGAGGTAATGGGGTAAGCAAGTAGGATGGCTTCTGTGTACAATAAACTGGAATTGGATTTAAACCTATTACTGCTTAAGAATGATCTCATTAAGCAAAAGAATGGGATATCTGTTTATGTGCTGATAATACAAACTTACAGTTTATTAGAGTGGGATGCTATCCTTTAGTTCAGACAAAAAAAGAAACCCAGACCCCAAACTTCTGTGATATTAGTGTTGTACTGCTAGACTTGTGTGTTTTTAATAGCTAAAACAGAAGCTATAATTTCTAGCATTCCTTTGACACTGAGGAGTTAAAATATTGGCTTCAGGATAACTTTGTCCAGAAGTTTTGTGTAGGTGCTCCAATTCAAAAAAATTCAGCTGAATTTTTTTTTTTGTCTGCAGGTTGCTTTGCAAAATGGTATGGAACGTGTGCAGTTATTTTTCCTGAAGAATAAATGTCGCTTGCCTCTCAATCCCAGTCTTGTGGCAAAAGAGCTAAATATTAAGGTACTGCACATTCGCAGTTTCAAAACCTTTTGTAAAAATTGCATATAGGCAAAGATTTTACAAATAGAGAAAAAAAATCAGTTGAGGTGAAAGTGCTTGAAAGTTCTTTACACTAAGGCAGGAGGGTTTTAATTAAAAATCCTGATAGAACAAGGTAATGAAATTAGCTGGGCAAAGATAAAATTTATGCAAAGACATGTAAAATCAGTTAAGGTACTTGTATTAAATATATCTGTATATATATGAAATACTGTATTGTTTCTTCAGACTGTGTTTTATGCCAGTAATCCTGGTTATAGTAAAGCAGGAGACAATTCAAAGTGCATGAAAAAGTCCTGTTTGCAGTAGTAATCAAAAGAGAAAACTGAGGAAGGGTATGAAGTCCAAACAATTAGTAGATCCTGTGAAATTGGTGAAACTACTTGGTACTGGTTATGTCCAATAGATTTCTGGAATCCAGGGAGGCAGACAGTAGCTTTATTTTATTGTGAAGGTCCCACATGTAATAATGTAGGGCAAGCAGGTCAATTATTTTTGCAGAGCTCTGCAAGGTTTGATAATACCTGCTCAACCACAGTCTTGATTATATCATGCATGACTGAGAACCTAAAGGTCTGTGAACACTGCATTTAATCCCATATAGCAAGACAGTTAATTCTCTTTTTTTTACTGTAAACTGCTACATCATGAATATGTCCTTGAAAGCAGATAAATGAGAAAATAGTGTGAAACATGCAAGTACCCAAGCTGCTGATAAAATATTTATGCATGTCTTATTCACTCTCCCTTCAAAATGTATAAAACATCACTGTGCAGAATTATTGGCTTTTCTACAAGTATTCAACAAATAACAGCCAAAGGGCTCTTTATGCAAAGGAAGCATGTATTTGCCACAATGGCAGTTTGAATGGGCACATTGTGTGTCAAACCTTCTTGTTGCCAGAATGTCTTGTTTTCTGGGCTGGCAGGAATAGTCCTTTTTGAGTATTAACACTAAAATCTACTTGTAGGCCTGTTCTTTCTTCAGCTCCAATGCAGTACCATTGAAAATTGCACTGATAAATGCAGACCCTCTGGGAGAAGAAATTAATGTGATGTTTAAGGTAGGCCTTACATGTATGTATTGGAAAAAAAAGGTTGAACAATAAACACTATGTTGTTGGTATCAATTAACTTTATTATATACCAGTAAGCTTTATTATTCTGTGAGTTTGCTCCTGTGTATCTAGAAACCAATGTCTGAACAGGCTGTAAAGTGTGGAAGTGAGTCTACTGTATGTGAAAGCCTAAATGCAGTCCATTTCTCTTTTCACATATATATAACTGAGGAAATTAGTAGCATAATGTATCACTTCCTATAAATGTAAAGCAATTAAAATCTGAAGTTAAGTTTTGCTGAAAGTATATTATGTCTCTAGTTAACTTTCATTTTTCCATCTAAGGTTGGAGAAGATCTGAGACAAGATATGTTGGCTTTGCAAATGATTAAGATCATGGATAAGATTTGGCTGCAGGAGGGACTAGATCTACGGATGGTTATCTTCAAGTGTCTCTCAACTGGAAAAGACCGAGGTGCAAAACCAGATGCTGCCCAAAATCTTTTCTCCCTCCCTTCAATTTCACACAGATAGTGAAAAGTTTCTGTGCAGAGGCAGGCCCAAGAAACAGTGGAAAGCCAGAACCCTTCCAAGCAAGGAACTTCAGCATTCAAGAGTATAGCATGTTAAATTGTTCTGAATTTCCTGATGGCTGAATACCATTTAAATGTGTTTCTTCTCTTGAGTTCTGGGGTTCTCTTATATTCTGTTGTCAATGAATGGTCATGCAAACAAGTAATGATAAAACCTAAGGTTTACAATGATGCAACACAAGAAAATAATGGTGCCATAGCAATCCTGATTCTAAATGCTTAGTTATGGTGAAAGAAAGTATTCTAGTCAAAACTGAAATTCTTAAGTATTTGGAATCTGCTGCAGTTGAGTCAGAGGGTATCATTCATGTACTGAAACATGCAAAAAGAAGAAAGATTTCACACAATTCTCCAGAATTAGTGTCATGCTGGTAAAAGTTCCTTGGGAATATGAGGCTGTCTTTTAGATTTAAAACTAGATCACGGAATTTCTTGTAATTTTGAGTGTAAATACTGCTCTGTACCTTGACATGCTTTTGATAGTTTTCACTAATTGTTCAGAGCTAGCCAACAGGAACCACAAGATCTTTAAGAGAATAAACAATAACTTAAATATTTCCTCAGTCAGATGCTAGAACAACAACTCTTTAAATACATGGAAATGTTGGAAATGTAGGTTGACAAAACTAAAAGAAAAGCTTCTATTTATGTAAGACTTGCTTTTTAGAGAAACAGATGGCCTTCCCTTTGAATGATGACTTGCATAGCATGTTACTTTTTTTTTTTGTTGCTACTAATATTAGTATCCCTAAAGTACTTGAAGGATTAAAGTGAAGAGGAATGGATTAAAATTACAAATTTGCCTTTAGTAAGTCTTGCCAAGATAGGAGTAGAATTCTGTTAATCAAATAAATGTTCTCCTTTTATGATTTAGCTATGGAAATATTTTTAGTAGAAAGTATCTCCAAAATTAGGCCACGTATAAAGCTTACTGCCTTATTTCTGGAGCAACAGTCTGGTCTGTTTCAAGACCTGACAGCAGTTCAAGTTACTAGATTATTTAAGTGTCAGTGCATTAGAAATGTCAGCATGAAAATATCTTGCAGTTACTGCTTATAGACCAATACTAGCTTATGTAGTAGAAAGTAATTATTCAAAGTATAATTTATATGTGCATCCTGGCAACCACAACTAATTGCAGGAAAGTAAGCCTAACTTGGATTGCTACAGCTACACATCTCATGGTATGCTTTGTTGTAGTCTACAGAAATGCTTAGTAGACTAATAGCATTATTTTTACACCTAACTGTGTTTTGAAAGAACCTAGTCTTAATATTATAAAATGCATTGTTGTTAAGAAAGTTGCTATGAAGAATGAAAATGCAGTATAACTTTAGGAGATGGTTAAATGCACTTTGTTATATTTTATATAAAGGCATGGTAGAACTTGTTCCTGCTTCAGATACACTTAGGAAAATTCAAGTGGAATATGGAGTGACAGGTTCTTTCAAAGACAAGCCTCTGGCAGAGTGGTTACGAAAGTACAATCCTACAGAGGAAGAATATGAAAAGGTAACATTTTTCAGTGGTGTTGGGATTTTTTAAGTTCTCTTAAAACAGATAAATACCATCTTATGAAAGACTTAAATTCTTATTCCAGATCTTCCATTGGAATATTTGGTTTATGTCTTTAGGGAACTGGTTACTTGAAAAACAAGCAAATTAAAATCCCTTGTATAACAAAAAAGAACCAGGATTGATTCTCAGGATTTCACGTCTGGAGTTTTTATTTGATACAGAAAAAACATACTTCAAATTTAAGATAGGGAAGAGTGCTGTCTGCTTTTAATTGTGGTATAGGAGCAGTAGCCTCTTATCATACAAGCAGATAGGAATAAAAAACTAAAATGTTTCCTTTTGGCTACTATGCCACAACAACGCATTGGAAAAATAAAGACTTGCACCCTTTTCTGTGGTAACATAATTAATTTTGTGATTTGTCCTCAACTCCTCTTTTCTCTTTCATTTATTTAAAAAAAAACAAACAGTTTTTGTTTGGAAGTGTGATATCTAAAGATTTCTGGGAAGTGGTCTGCTTGCAGAAAAATTCCACTATTTTGGAAAAAAACCCAAATTTCAAAGCCTGTCTTGTCTGGCTTGGATTTTACCATTGTCAAGATTTACTGTTGAATGCATGAATGCTGTTTTCCCATTGATATTTTATCTCAATTCACTTTTTTCTCTCCCTCCCAGGCTTCAGAAAACTTCATTTACTCTTGTGCAGGATGCTGTGTAGCTACTTATGTATTGGGAATTTGTGACCGCCACAACGATAACATAATGCTCCGAAACACAGGGCATATGTTTCACATTGACTTTGGAAAATTTTTGGGTCACGCGCAAATGTTTGGTAGCTTTAAAAGGTATTTTCTGTAGCTAAGCAATGTAGAGTACAAAGTTATTTTCAGTCTATTTTTATAAGCATTATAACTCTAGGCATTAACTTTTAAACACCTGTTATCTGCAGTTAACGTTATGAAGCCCGTTATCTTCCCATTGAACAAGTGATTCCAGTTTCCAGAGTGCATTCAAGCTTAACTGTATAGAATTAATTTTGGAAAGGCTCCAGCTTTCTGTTTCCATGTTCTGATCTCTGGAACTGTTTTACGTCAAAGCACATAGGCATAGCTTTCAAATAAAATCACTATTCTAGCTACTGGTAGGTTGAAATGTCTCCTAAACATCATTTAACTTCAGTGCTTCCAAACTGTACTAAATCCTTAAGAGCTTTGTGCTATATGTACTTGGCAAATTTCAATGGGAATTTATATACAATAGTTAGGAAAGCCAAGTATTTTGTTACAGAAAAGGTATTTATAACTTTTTAATTGATATTTGGGAGCCTTAAATCTAATGCAGATTGTGGTGTCATATTTTTCCAGGAATATTGGATAAAATTGTAGTGTCATTTCACTTTTTAGCTATATTGATGCAATAATTTATTGCATGCTTGTTAGGGTGAATGTTATCAATGAATGAGAATTTGAGTGCCAGAACCTTTACACCATTTGAATATCTGAGTATGAAACAAATGAGAACAAACTTTGGCTCATAAAAACAGTATTGAATGTCAATGTTACAGAAAAGAGTGAACAGCAAGTTTGTATTTACTACCCCTCTGTGTAGGGGAAGGTAATCTATATCCAAGATGGAGGAGTTATGTTCTAGTCAGGTGATAATATTGTCATTACATTGGTTTTAGTGTGTTATGGCTTCCAGAAAGGAGGAATGGAAGGCACTGCAAGGTAACCTGGCCTCCAGGTGCTGCTGCAGGAGATCGGGTGTAGGCCCAGCACCATGTGAACATGCTCAGTAGCTGAGGTAGCACGAAGCAGCTGAACCCGACCCCCAAAATAAAATGGCATTAATGGATTATTTAATATCATTACTTCAGGGTGCGGATAGAGGGGAGGAGGAAGCACATGACAAAATAAATCTAGCTGATCATTAACTTAAGAATTTTGTGCTTTCTGAACAGGGATCGTGCTCCCTTTGTGCTAACATCAGACATGGCTTATGTCATCAACGGTGGTGAAAAACCCACAATTCGCTTTCAGTTGTTCGTGGATCTCTGTTGTCAAGCTTACAATTTGATAAGAAAACATGCAAACCTCTTCCTTAACCTACTTTCATTGGTAATTATTTTATTAAATGCAGTTGAAACTTGATAGATTTATTATGGTGGATTGTTTTAAAAACTATGCTTTTGGTGTTGCAGAAACTCTTAATGTATGCTTCTAGAAGCCAGAAACATCAGAAGTACTTTTTAGGAAGGTTGTATTTGGATTTTTCTTTGAAGCTTTTTTTACTACCTGCCTGTTTCCTAAGAATTTAAAACTAGGAAGATACTATAAATTACACTGTAAGGTGTTTTAACTGCTTTTAACTCAGCAGAGATGGTAAAGGGAATAACTGCTGATTAGAAGTAATTGATGCCTATTGCTGTTAGCATTTGGCAAGTTAGTGCAGCTTCAAATGAATCTGATGGTCTAAAAATTTTAATAATTTCAATATAAAGTTATATTTGTTTTATTGCATTAAAACTGTAAATTCCTGCAGATGCTTTCTTCTGGGTTACCAGAGCTAAGTGGGATTCAGGATTTGAAGTATGTCCAAGATGCTCTCCAGCCCCAAACAACAGATGCAGAAGCTACCATTTTCTTTACAAGGTACCAGATCAGTGAAAGCTAAAATACCTACCAGCATCAGTCACTTAATGAGAGCTTTCTGCTATGAAAAAATGTACCAAGCCTGTTTGCAAACTTGTCTTTGGAAGTTGAGTAGTTACACTGTTTAATCATAGAATATTGGTTAACCAGTGAGCTACGTAAATAAGATTAGTTTCATACAAGATTAATGGATATGCTAAAATGCTTTTGTCTTTAAGAGAAACCTTGTCCAAAATTTTTGTTTAAAGTACTGAAAGCAGATAATTTTGCTTGGCTGTTTGAGACATGTTTTGATTTTATCTTGAATTGCTGAATAGCAGCATATATGATGGGAACCCTGCATGTGACGTTCTCAGTTTCTGTGAGTGTTTTTGCACAATGGCAAGGGAGGGATGATGCACCAGTTTAACAAGTGGCAATGTGTGTATATAGCGCAACTGAGTTGTTGGTATGTGTTACTAAATGTGTTATTGTACTTAATTTTAAATATATGGGGGAGACTGTAGTGATATGCATGCAACTTTTTTTACCAATGCTGGAAAGACTATTTCAGTTTGGATACTGAATCTTCTGTTAAATGCTGATATGATGCTATTTATGTAGCCCATTGATCACTTTCCGTTTAAAAAACTATTTCTCTGTCAGTAAGAAATCACATTTTATTTTTCTTAGACTTAAGTGATTCATCGACAGAACAACTTTAGCGTGTTCTGACATGTGCTCTAGTATTTGATGTTATTTTTTCTAGGTTGATTGAATCCAGTCTGGGAAGTGTTGCCACGAAGTTTAATTTCTTCATTCACAATTTGGCTCAGCTGCGTTTCTCAGGTCTACCTTCTAATGATGAACCCATCCTTTCATTTTCTGCTAAAACATATTCTCTCAAACAAGATGGCAGAATCAAACAAGTGTCTGTGTTTACATATCAGAAGAGATATAACCCAGATAAACACTATGTAAGTATGTGGAATATGTTTCCACTCAGCAAAGATATTATGCATTTTCTTCCAACAAGATATGTTCTCCTTCTTGCTAGAAGTTCAGTACTTGATCACAGAGAATTAGTCCAGAGGAAGCTGGCCTCTTTTAGCCTTTAGTAGCTAGCTTTTAGGTAGGCCACCGGGTTCCCCTTATTGACAGAGATTTAGCAAATACAGCCATAGGTATATACTCATTCACTTGGGCACTAATGTCAGGTTTAGGATGAGCTATAGAGTGTTCTGAAATGCGACTGCATTGACTATAACAGGGGCCTAGAATCTCACGCCAATGTTGAGATCCAGAACTAAGCCTCACTGTGGACGGCTTAAAAATAAAATCCATAACTGAAACTGGATGGCAATGAGCCTGCTTGCTTCCTGGAGAGCAACATAATTGTATTGGCTTTCATAGAATCATATCATAGAATCACAGAATAGTAGAATGGCTATGGTTGGAAAGGACCTTTAAGATCATCTAGTTTGGATCCGACTGCATGGACAGGGACACCTCCCAGTAGACCAGGTTGCTCAAAGCCCCATCCAACCTGGCCTTGAACACTTCAAGGAAGGGGGAACCCACAACCTCCTTGGGCAACCTGTTCCAGTGTCTCGCCACCCTCACACTCAAGAATTTCTTCCTAATGTCTAACCTAGCTTTGGCTAGGATGGAGTTACCATTTGTCATAGCAGCCCACACAGCGCTGTGGTTTTGGATGTTTAGCTAAAACTGTGTTGATAACACACTATCAGTGTGGCTGTTGCTGGGCAGTGTTGAGACTTTCAATTTTTCTTCCACTTTGATCCTGCCACCCTTGCGGTGAGTAGATTGTAGGTAGGCAAGGAGTTGGGAGGGAACACAGTAGGAACAGCTGACCCAAACTGGCCAAAGAGATTCTCCATATCATATGACATCATGCTCAGCAATAAAAACTGGGGGTAGAGGAAGAAAGTGGAGGAAGGATGTTGTCTTCCAAAGTGACTGTTGCCTGGGGACTGGTTGGGCATGGGTCTGTTTGTGGGAGCTGTTGAGAGAGTGTCGTTGTGTCACCTCCCCTCCCAAGGGCTGTCTTCATCTCATCCCCCAGATCTTCTCGCTTTTGCTCTTATTCTCTCTGCTGTCCCATTGCTGAGGGGGTGGGAGTGAGCAAGCAGCTGTGTGGGTGCTTAGCTGCTGGCCAGGGTAATCCAATCAGGACTGCTAGAGAACAGATTGGTATTTTTAGCATCTATAATATTCTTCAAAATAAAGACATTTCTTGAAAAGGATGTAGAAGGAAGAAGAAAGAGCAGTAGTAGTGTTGGTAGAGATGTTTTTTAAAAATGGAGTTTTGACTCAGGTTTACATGCTTATGTACCCCCTTCTGCAAAAGAGCTCCTGAATATGAGTCATTAAGTTAAACAATTTCTGGTTTTGTTCTGACCTCCCATTAGCATTGTACTTGCTCCTCCTAAGTTGAAGCACTGTTTCAGGTATTCATGCACCTATACTCCTAGTCAGTGTTACTAGAGGCAGCAAGGATTACAGTTTGACCTCAGGATTTTGATAGACCTGGGTTACACTGTAAGACTTGTATTAATATTCTTGTGCTGTGCAGATGTGCAACCATTCTCAATTTATTTCTTTTCTCTAATGCTGTTTGCTGGCCTAGAATAGTCAGCTCAAGCTACATTTTCCAAGTTGGTTAAAAACTCAGCTGTATTTGATATATGCAAAGGTACTTCTCTTCCCAAGTTGTACTTGCTGTGAATGTCTTAATCTGGTAAGATGCCAGCTAGGAAGGTGAGTTATCAAAGCCAAACAACAGTAGAAGTGCAGAAGAGCTTTGTATTGAATTACTATTATAAATGTATTTGATCACTCCCAAGGCAAAATAGCCTCTTCCAGGAATCTGTTAAGATGATGTAGTCTTCCGTCTAGATTTTTAAACCTTTTCCCAGTTGGACAGCTTGAAAATATATATTTAATTCATCTGCCCATAAAATGAGTCCACTGAATGGAATTTTCTGTGCAGTTTCTTGATGTTCATTCCTCTTTCATGATAATGTGAATAACTGCATCCTGGGAAAATACCCCCAGTATTGTTAGGAATTAAAAATTCCTTTTATGTAATGCAGTACACTTGCATCTGCCCACCAAATGGTTGCTTTAAAAGTGAAGTCTTTAAGAATCCTGAAATAATTAGACTTAAAAAAATTAGGCATCAGTTTTTTCCATATCCACACCTGAAAAAAAATGTGGTAGTCCTGTCACCAGAGGTAGATGTCTCTATGTAATCCTGCACTGATGTATTAAAATTTTGTACACCTGCTATACACTGAACTTAAAATGATGCTTAAAAAGGAGAATGCAGCAGCTTAGCCTTGACTTTATCTTCCTTCCAGATGAGGACCTACTTTATGGGAAGATCACGTGATGTTACTTTGCATTACAGTTGGGCTGTTTAGAATTCTAACTCTGCCATAAAACACAGATGCTGTTACGAAGATATGAATGCAAGAGGATTATCATAATAAAAAGAGTTAATTGTTAGGAAAAGCATATTGTTAAGTCAGTTCTCTAATACTGTTACTACTATTATCTTTGTGGGTTTTTGTGTTTTGTGCAGATCTATGTAGTGAGAGTTTTGAGAGAAGGGCAAGTTGAGCCAACGTTTGTCTTCCGAACATTTGATGAGTTCCAGGAGCTCCACAACAAACTTGGCATTCTCTTTCCTCTTTGGAAGTTACCAGGGTATGTTCCTAACTTGCTCATCATTACTGTAACAGAAGCAACAGAACTGTTCCCAGCTGAGTGGAGGAAGAAATAGCTTGAAATGGAGGAGACAAAACTGCTGAGAGGCAAACTAGACCTCAAAGTTGGCAATTAAAGAAGAAAACCATTGCATCTTAAGTTTTAAGGATAGCCAGAGAAGCAACTTGGTGTCTTTAGTATGTGTGTTGTATCACTCATAACAATACCTGTAAATGTTTCCTTGCCTTTCTGTTAGGTTGTTACCTATTAGTGTGCTGGGTTTTCACTCATGATTGACATTAAAAAATGGATGTCAGCACTTCAGGGTGTGAATGACAATGAAATCTAACTGCATTTCCTTCAGAGGAAATTAAGTGAAACCTCTTACCTTCTTCTTCCCATGTAGCTTTCCTAACAAGATGGTTCTGGGAAGAACACACATAAAAGATGTAGCAGCTAAAAGAAAGGTGGAGCTCAACAGCTACATACAGAGTCTGATGAACAGTTCTTCAGAGGTGGCAGAAGTGAGTTCAAATATCTTAAGCAAATCCAGTGCACATTTTCAGATTTGGGTGCTTGTCAACAGAAACTAATGTGTAACATTTCTTCCAAATGTAGTGTGATCTTGTTTATACTTTTTTCCACCCATTACTTCGTGATGACAAAGTGGAAGGAATAGATGGAATAGCCAGACCTACAGGTAGGTAATGTTTTCTGGGGTTTGTTTTATTAACTGGATTACTATAGTATGACACCTTTGCAATGAGATTTTTTTAAGTCTTCTTTAATTATTTACCCTCATTGAGAACTTTGCATCACTGTCTTTCCAAATATGTCTGCATATTTGCAAGGAGATAAAAACATACCAAAAATTGCAACAATATTTGTAATCACTTGGACTTGTTCATGGCTTGACTAAATTATTCAAGTTTTCACTCTAAATCTTCCAATTGGTTCTTACAACAGAATGCAAAAGTCTTTAAAATCTGTGGCCTTGCCCTCATATTAGAGAGCCAGAAATAAAATTGGAACCTGGAGTTGGTCTAAATCTTGTACTTTCCCCCATATATAATTAGTGTAGTACTGATGAAAATGTGCAAATGCTACAGAGGAAATAATAGTATATTTTTTCAGATGCAAGTCCATCAAGTCCTACCTCAGGCAAAGTGGGAGGAGAAGTGAAGCTGTCCATATCATATAGAAATAGCACTCTATTTATCATGGTGATGCACATTAAAGACCTGGTAAGTAGAGATACTGAGGTCTCTGACAAAAATGCCTTTCCACTTTCTCAATTACCTTCTTGACTTAGGTTGCTGCAGGAATGATGGAACCATCTCTCCTGTTCCAAATTTTCCAGCTGCCAGGTTAATTAACTACTGGTTTTGGTTAGCCTGATTGCAAAGTCTAGACCCTTGAAAACAAATATTCAAAGAGGCATGCACTAACTAGTTTTGTAATTTGTCTTCTTTTTTGGATTGCAGGTTACAGAAGATGGTGCAGATCCGAATCCATATGTAAAAACATACTTACTTCCAGATACACACAAAACCTCCAAACGCAAAACCAAAATCTCCCGGAAGACAAGAAATCCAACTTTCAATGAAATGGCAAGTTAAAATTTATGTAACAATGCCCTGTGGTTTGCTATTGTCTCTAATTCTAAGTAGTAATTAAAATAGTCTAAAAAAACCTGTAAGGATATGTAAATGGAAAAGGAAGTTGTTTGAAAAACTTTGCCCTTTTTAAAAAAAACAAAAGCACCCAACAAACCTAAAAGCCCCAAAGCAACTGACTAGGTAAATGTGCTTTTACAAGTAAGCAGGAATTTCTCAGTCTGACTCTGAGGAGTGATGGGGAGAAGAAAAGGAATCTTAAAACTAAAGAGCTCCCTGCCCTAGATTCACTGGTCTTGTAACATGGAGAAGAATGAACTAAAAAATCTTGGCATGTAAACAGTACTTCAATGTCAGACATGAGTCCTTTCAAACACTTTAACACTAGGAGCCCAAAATAAGGTATGGATGTTCCTCAGTCCATGCTCTGAGAAAGAGACTTACTGGAATGGTGATAACGAGGACAAGTTATCTGTCTTGGGCTAGGCAGTCAGAAGCATTTAAGTTATCTGTCTTGGGCTAGGCAGTCAGAAGAAAGGGCAACCTGTGTAACTTCATTGGGATAACAAAAATTCTTGACTTCTTACCTTCTAGCTTGTGTACAGTGGATACAGCATGGAGACTCTAAAACAGAGAGAACTGCAGTTAAGTGTGCTCAGTGCAGAGTCGTTACGCGAGAACTTCTTCTTGGGTGGAATTACACTCTCACTAAAGGACTTCAACTTGAGCAAGGAGACCATTAAGTGGTATCGACTAACTGCTGCATCCTATCTGTGAACTCATTTCTACACCTGAGTAAGACTAGAACAATTGTATTCACTTGTGCTTTGTTCATCTTCCTACTTGAAGATAACCTCTGCATCTTAAAATGAGAGACACTGCATTTCAACAGGTATGTTGGACCAACGTTCATGTAGCTTAATGTGGAGGATTTCTAGAAAACCTGGTTTATGCTTATGCAGTGTTATCAAACCATCATTGTAAATGTTTGAATTGTGGGTAAAGGAAGGGGTTTTTAAACCATCTGTGACAGTGAGATGAACAGTTGGGCCATGGTGGTTGGTTAAACCATAACTTAATCATTAGGCCTGTGGATATAGTGCATTTTTGCTTTTAATTTTGGTTACCTGTGTTGGATCATCCATGGCATGATGCTGGAGGACATCAAAGAAATGACATGTTTTTAGGATTACATCACTCTACTAATTAGACATAACAGAAACAACAACAGGTAAAATTGTGGTGGCTTCACACACACTTGTAGAAATGAAGATTGAAAGGCTGGAAAAACTCTAACTTAGAGTTGCATTTAATACCAAATGCTTCCCTAAGACTTACTGGAGTGAGTGCCATTAATGGAAGTTGTAAATAATGGTGCCTTATAATTCAAATGCTTCTCTTTTACCTCATTTCTGGTATTTAAATATGTATACATGTTAACTTTCAGCTCCTTAACAAGGGGAAACGTTCTGGTGTCTGATCCAGGTCCTACTGGAAGTCTTTTCCTGAGATGTGTTATTTACAAATCATATCACTTATACTGATCTTCACAGTTAGTGCAACTTACATAATTTTTTTTTCTATTCTCAACATCTACCCATAATCTCCAAAAATGGAATGAAGACTGGCTGAATGTGGTGCCCTAGCAAGTGTGCCCAGCTTCTGAGTGTTCTGAAGTGTTTTCATTGCTGTAACTTTTAAATAGTGCAGTGATGAAATGAGGAACAGATTCAAACACTAAATGGAAAGTAGCACTTGCACCTAAATTACTGACCTGTACCTCCATGTAAAGGATGGCTTCTAGTTAAAAAGCACAATTGCTGAATGAATCACAGGCCAGAAATGAGTTGCATTAACAGAGCTTTGAGAGAGGAACTTAATAATTTATTTTTTTTAGCAGTTCACAGCAACACTGTTTCCTACTCCAAGTAAGAATGCATTTCACTAAAAATCCGTAACTCCATGGAACACTAGATTTTAACTATATTGTTTCTGAACTACATGTGTGGCCTTTTTATTCACCTTACCCAGTTCTGTCTAAGCAAAGCTATAGAGTTGCACACTTTTCTTTAGTACTAAATCTTGAAGCAAGACAGACTATCACCACTGACTACAACTAGAGTGAAATTTTAAAGTAAAATCTGCAACTATGAACACAGACACAACATGGGCGAAGCCTTCTATATAGCCAACATTAAAACCTATTTCAGAACCTGATTTTCATTTCCCTGCTACTGACCAATCTCTCTTCCATACAGAAGAGAGAAGTAAACTTGAATCTCCTGGTGCCTAAAATATTCACGGTCCAATTTTGTAGGAATTACTACAATTAAAAAGCTAAGAATATCTTGAATGTTAGAAACTGGGTTGATTCTAATGGGCGCTAACAAATCCCAGGTCCCAGTTTTATTAGTCATCTTCTGCGTATTTTTAATTTAGTATATAGCCTGTAAATAATCTATATAACTAACTAGCTATATTTCCTGCTCACTTGTTGCTTTTGAGACTTACTCCATTCCATCATTAGAATCACAAGTCACTTAAACACAGGAAAGTAGACTACTGTTTTTGTGAAACGTTCCATTGTGAAATAAAATGAAAGCAATATGTACTGCCTTTTTTGCAGTTTGCTATTAAAGCACAGTGTCTTACAGCACAAAATACAAATAAACTGAAATAATTTAAAAAATTATTTGCAGTTTTAACAGTTGTCTGGACTCTGGAAAAAAAAAAAGTATAGTACTGTATAATTGTTAACACTTTGTCCTGACTTCTGATTTAATCTTCTTCATAGCTCAACCCATTTTGTGCCTTTCCCTTCCTTTTCAAAATAGTCACTGGCTGAAGCTTTTTTATGGTCATGGTTTTTATTTTGTCTGTGGGATCTGGCCTCAGCCTCTCCTTACACATAGAGGAACAGCATCACGTTTGCACCTCTTTGCACTATTCTCAATTAAGAAAGAAGGTTGTTGCAATAAGACTTTTAATGTGCTACACGTGAAAAAGGCGGATGTCAAAGAGGAAGATGCTCAATTGGGGTGGAATTTACCAATACACTAAGTAGCTTGAAAATGTACTTTTTAAGAGCTTTTTTATATCTTGTTTAACGAAAAGAAAAAAGGAAAAAAAAAAAAGGCATTTTAAGTAATATATGACCTGCAGCCAGAAATCCACTTGTTTTGCTTATTTCAGAGTAACAGCTTGTAAGGAGACCTCTTCCTTTTCTCTGTTAACCTAGAACTTTGCACTGAAGTTTTTACAACTGCCTTTTTACGGTCTTACCGCTCCCCCTCTCTGGAAGCGCGTGCGATCTTTGATAAACGCTCTTTTCCCCCCCTTTTTTTTTTTTACAAGCAGGGGTGGTGTGGGAATCCCCCTCCCCCCTGCTCCCTCCTCACACTGTGCCTCAGATAGCGCGGTGGGTGACAGAGCCGGCGCGTAGGTTTGTGTCCCCTTGTGATGTATCTGTAAGAGCCAAATGCTTCTCATGAAAACCAGCTCCCTAATAAACATGTACACTATTGCCCTCCGTCGTGCGGGCTCCATGTGACTCCGTCACTGTCCTGTAAGTACATTAAACGCTGTTCTGGGAAAATAAAAAGAGAAACGAACGCGTGTTGCTCTTTGTCTCCCG